AAAATGCCTCCTGGCTGTGAGTCAAGACCTACAGCTGTACTTGGCGCTGAAGCCCTTTGGCCTTCATTATTCTTACATAGCCACAACATAATTAATAGTTTTGTTGCAGACGATGGAGCTCACTGAAAGCTGATAACAAGCTGGCAAAAAAGAGGCCAGGAATAACACTGTCTAGTTTGAAATTACAATATGCATAATTGAAGCTCCTTGTCTTAAAAGGATCACAGGCGTTGCGTCGCTGACAAGACTGTATGATGATTCATTGAACTGCTAGTTTCATTTGACAGTGGAAAAAAGTACAAATACCTTCGGCTTGTTTGGATGTGCTCGCACAACACTGGTAGATACTGGAGACCCGAAGATATCACTCGTCTTCCCACCAGGTGGATTTACACGTGGTCGAGGCTGTGCCGCACTGGGATCCTCGAAAATGCCACTCTCTTTACCCCCTGCAAGGTGGTAAGATTTTTGTTCTAGATTACTTAGTTTTACTACCCTACAACAACAATAAATAAATAAAGAACATCTGAAGACTTCCAGGACCCTACTGCCTACAGACTTACTTCTGCTTGTCTGAAGATACATCTTGAAATCCTTTGCAACAAGAATTCACTAGAGGATCTGAAATTCACAGCTGTATTTCATGCACTGCAGCTAACTTATGACAGAACTCTAGAAATGGAAGCAGTTTTTTTCATAATTTCCTACATTTCAATACAAGGGAAAACTTAGACCAAGATGAAGTGCTAAATGTCTATGAACATGCAGCTCACTCGCAAACATCCTCAAAAGTGTCAAGAGATTTAGTGCCCAAGCAGTCAAGTTTGCAAAATGTAATTTAGAAAAGACAGATTGTTGTACAGGCACAAACCAGCACTGTTCTGCAACTCAGGGGCCTGTCACCCTGAGCAAGGTGGCTGCTCTTACCTGGCGGGTTTGTTCTTTTTGGAATGTTCTGAGGTTCTTCAGATGCTCCAAAGATATTAGATGCCATCCGGTGTGGCCTGCTGGAAGAAGAAACTTCTTCTGCATTGCCAAAGAGATTACTAGAACCACCTCCAGGGGGTTTCAATACCCTACAAGGTAAAATGAGAGAAGCAAGAAATTAAAATTTATTTGAAAATCTAGAGCATTCAGCCTCTCTATCATATCCCTTCCTGTACATTACAATGAAATACTCCAACTGGAACATACCTAAGGTGATTTTAAGTCTATGAACTATCTACTTTTCAAAAGATTCCTAACTCGGTGTTTCCAAGCTTAACATAAATATTGCCAGTTTCCTTGTCAGTACACTTGACCACCACATTATCTAGGATTACTTGAAACAGTTACAGCATAACAAAACCCTCAGAACAAACAGTTAATCTCCTGCTGCTTCTGCAACACCACAGATAAAACAAGACCTATGACTCAGGTTAGTATTTTAAAAATAATCATTACAGCATCAGACTTTTTGCTAAACCTCACATACTTTATTTAGCATCAGTGATTCAAAACCAGCGGCTTCTAAATAAAAGCAAACAATGCAGCCAGAAGGTGCCAAACACTAAAAATCTGCTAGTTTCAATCAGTTAACACCTTATTAGTTGCTGTAGAGTTTAGGATGAAAAGGTGGAACCACCAAGAAGCCAAATGATTAGTGGTTAAGATGCATTAAGACTACAGACTATATCTTCAACAGATATATATCAAATGGATCCTAATAAGAATGGAGGATGTAATAGCATTAGGCCAACTTCTTGAAAACCTACTAAGTTAGTCTTGCCCTTGAGTCTACAGCTACCACCTATGCCTTAGTCAGCAGCCTTCAGGTCCTATTCTGAAAGGAACCAGAAAAACATGAGGAAGGGATGAATGCTGATATATCAGATACAAACTTCAAAGTCCCATCTACTTTTTGACCAACTGCCCACAAACGCAGCTGAGCAGAGTTACGCCTTTTCTAAGCCGACCCCCCTAATCTGGACCCTAAACTAACCTTAGTTTTAGTCCCAAAAGCACATTTATAAGCTGCAAGATCATCATCCTGCTCTAGAGGAGCAGAAGCCAGACGTTGACGAAACCAAACCAAACAACAGCCCCCTGCACAGATGGTTATTTAATTAGCTCCTTTATTTTGAGGGTAAAAAAAAAAGGTAATTGGAATATTTAAATTTTGGAGATGGAAGAGAAAAGGAAAGAGCAAACAAATCAGAGCATTTTGAGAAGGGATTGTTCAGAAAGTAGCTCTGCTAGTGTCCTCACATCCTGAAAGCAATTTCTGACTTCGGGCACTCTTTTTTATGTTTTTACTCTTCATTGAGTTAATCTAGGAATACCAACAAAATGACTGAAAGGAAGAGAAACAGCAGTCTGTGCAGATGGAGTTTTTTAGCATAGATTCCTCACAGTTACCATCCTTTTTAACACGTGCCAGAAACATAGGTGGAAACAACAGAGGAACTAAATTTGTGGGTTTTTTTAGTTTAAGGAAAACAATCATAAGAACCAAATTGCTTCTAGTTTTTGCAAGTAGATTCTTAGATTTAAGACCTGTTGTAAGGAAAAAAAATCCAGAGAAGCTTCATTTAAGATTAAAAATGTTGATTACTCAGCTGAACTTAAATATCAAGAGAAATGTAACACTGAGGCTTAATCTTATGTCATCCTCACTTTTTCAGTGTCAATACAACCCCACTGCTACAAGAAGCTGGAGACAAAAGTTGAGATGTTTGAGAGGCACTTTGGGAGCAGCACGATACCGGGCAGTTTCTGCACACATCACCCAAAGGAACGCGCCTGGAATCCGCACACACACTAAGTGGATTTGTCTCCTTGGTTTCCGGAGCCTCTAGTCGCCAGGAACCTCCCAAATAATCTGCCAGAACTGAACTCCTTGAAGTAACGACAGCGGGTCTATAAAATGCTAACTAATGCAAAGCCAGGCAATTAAATCATTCATCAGAACTACAAAAAGCAAATCGGGAAGTTGAGCAATCGGCTCTTCCTCTTATGACAGCAGAGGCGACAGGGCTGCGTGCGCCGGCTGGCCTCACTGCAGGGCCGGGAAGCACCGCCGACTCCCTGTGCTCCCAACTTCCCTCGTCCTAGACGGGAGCACGACCTGCGGGTCTACTGCCCCAGCAATAAGATACACGGACTGCTACAGCATGATGAACCAGATCAGCCAACCCGGGCTGCTCCAGCAGTGCACGAGGGCGTTTTGCATATAACGCCATTTAACTTTGGATGGGCATTATATAGATTTACATACACCAAGGGTTTTTGTGTCTTCTATCTAGGGAAGCTGAATCCTCTCCTTGTCATGAGGGATCCTCTGAACCTCTTTAACTCCGTCTCCTACACTCCATCTCCCTCACTGGACCCTGCTCTTCCAGCTCTTTCTCCCGGTCTCCTCCCTCCAGCTCTCTGTCAATCCTGTGCTCCCCTTTCCCTCCCTGATCCCCATCCCTCTTCCCCCTGCTACTTCCACCCCTCTACCTTGCTGTCCCTTCTCCTCCTTTCTCCCCCTTTCCCCTTGCTCCTGCTCCCTCTTTGTGTAACCCAAATTAAACCCAAATTACAAATTTACTTTGTGTAAACCAAATTAAAATTAACTGGGTCTAATTTAACCCAGCAAAGTATTTATTCCCTATCACTGTACACAGTGACTGGATGACTGAAGAGTCAACTCACTGGGTGGTTAAATCGTGGCTTCTATTTAGAGTATTTTTAACATTATTTATTCTTACCAGCAACATCCCTGCGTTGCAGTAACTGAAAAAGGGCACAGCACGTGTTTATCATTCATTGTAAATGATTTTGCCTGAATTATGAAGGTTCAGTATTAGTCATGTTCCACCTCCCCCCCCCCCCACTTCTACGGCTTTTAGTGGTTGTTGGGGATTTTGAATTAAGAAACAAGCCTAATACAAAGGACTTTGTCACCTCAAGAACGGCAAAGAGATTTCCCTTATCAGCAAACAAACCTGCGCTGGGAGACCGAGCAGGAAGAGCTTTGGGCGACAAAAGGAA